CTCTCCTCACTGGCAAACCTACAGTGAAAGTCTGCTTTGAAGTCAATCACTGATGAGACAAAGTCAAGAATGGGGCAGACCTGTTGGATCTCAACTGCTTCAAACAATTATTCTCTGCACTTAAATGAGTAATAAAGCTACTGTATGCACATAGAAATAGGGTAACTTTTCTGTTTGGGGAAAGGAGAGAAGTTCATTGTGAGAGGCTGCAGCTGCTCTTTTCTCTGATCCTTTCACAATACTCTGAGTTTCTTTCACAGAAAGATTTTCTTTCCCTGAGAGACAATTTTTCAGGACTTCTGAAAGAAGGCCTGGATGAGGAATGAGATTGTGGATATCACCTATGATATGTCCTGGATGTGATTCTTACTCTAAATGATTCAGGAATCCAGAAGACATTGTGAGCAGGATGTAAGTGTGTTGTGGGAGGGAGGTGCTTGTGTGTTTTCCTAAGAAGTTCTGAAGGAAGGGGAAGGGAAGGTGAGAGGTATTTCCAGAACAGACTAGCCAATAAATCTGCTGTGAGCATGCGCATCTGTAATGTGAGATTATCAGCTGAGACCCTTTCTTTAGAGCAAGATTCCTCAGGAGCAAGATACAGTCCAGGTAATACTTGGATTTGCCAGTCCTGATCCGTAAATCATGAGCTTGAGTGAGGATGCAAGGCAGGAGGATTGTGGAATCACAAGACAATTCAGGCTGAAAGTGACCTTGGAGTGCCCTCATGTCCAGTCTGCTGCTTGGTAAGGCCAGAGACCCTGGGGAATCTCCACCCTTGTGGTTGTTCAGAAATCACTTGAACATGGCCATGAGTAACCTGTTTCCCTTTGGTGGCATCTTTGCTATGAAATAACCCTTGTTCTAAGGAGGTCCTTTCCAAAATAAATCGTGCTGTCAGTAATTGTAAAGAAGATTTTAAAACCTTTGTTCCTTTCTGGCTAATTGCATTCTTTGTTCAATTTTCTTGAAAAAATGTCATCATCAAGTCATGTGTACAAGAACTTGGGGATTACTTGTTGTGTATTTATCAATTCAATTTCCCCAACATCAGACTTCCCTCCCAGTTCAGCAGCAGCTCTTACTTGCTCTGTTGTCAAATATAACACCCTCCACTGAAGGGTCAAAGTCCTTCTCCATCTTTACTTCATCCTCCTATTACTGAAAAACTTACAAGAATCCTTTGTGATTACAAAAAAAAAAAAAAAAAAAAAAAAAAAAAAAAAAAAAAAAAAAAAAAAAAAAACAAAAAAAAAAAAAAAAAAAAAAACCAAAAAACAACCAAACAAAAAAAGACCCAAACCAAACAAAACTCAACCCTTTGCAATAGCAGATGTAAAAGTTCCTGAAACCACCCCATCCATATTTCTTCTTGAAATTCTTCTTCCTGTCTTTTCCTCTTCTGTAGGATTGCACTTCTCCCTGGGGCAGGGGTAGCTGTGCATATCACATTGCAAGCACAGTGTATGGACGCCTGGAACAATTGAGGCTGGAAGGAACCTCCAGGGGTTTTCCACTTCCAGCTGCTGCTGAAGGCAGGACAGAGAATGGGCAGATATTGTCCCATGCTGGTGATGAAGCCAGGGCAGAGACAGCAGTCTGGGACAGCAAGGTTTGTTCCTGCACTGCTGTGAAAATATTTCCTGCAGGGGGCTGAGGGAACAGGAAGCATTGGGAAAGTGGCCAGGGCTGTGTCAGTGGGTGAGAACAGGAGGAGAGAGGCTGCAGGAAGGCACAGGGAGCTGAGAGGGGCACTGAGCCTCAGCACAGGGAACACAGCTTCAGCTGGGCATGGCAGCCACAGAAACACAGTGGTGGAGGAGGCTGAGTTCCAACTCTTCCCTGTGAACTTGCACATGGCTAAACAAATCATGGAATACTATGTCATCCATCCTCCCTTATCAAGAAACTACAAGTTTAAAAGCACAAGACAATTGTTCTCACAGGCATCAACCAATTTCTCACGTCAAAGTTAGGAAATCTTACTCTTTGATTATGTGATTTGGTGAGTAGAAGACTGTACCACCAGCATGATCCATTACTGTGATAGATTGTATGAGATATAATCAAACATCTAATTTTTTAAAGCAGTCTGAATGGGAGAGTTTGGCCAGGATCACGACAATAATCAATATGCTCACCAAGACTTTAGCACTTGTTGATTCAAGCCTGAGCCCACTGTTACTCAACAGTGAATCTGGAAGAAGAATATTCCTTTCAGGAGACATCCATGAAAAACATCTCAAATTGACTACCCAACACATTTTCTTAGCACTCACAGACATCTCTCCAAGAAAGGGAAATATATGTCTACACTGAACAGTCCATAAAAACAGACCCCCTGTTGCTTGCAAGAGAGTCTTTATTGGCACCAACCCAAAAGAGGTTACAGACAGTGGAACAGGCCAAAGTACCACAAGGGTTTTGTAAAGCAAATCACAAAGGAAGGGACACGAGCAGGGGCAGAGATGAGAGGTTTCCTGGTGGGACTGCACCTTCCCTCAGGGTCACAGGCTCTGCAGTTTAAGAGTCACGGCCAGGGTGCAGGGGGCGCAGGAAGGAGAGCTTGTCATTGAAGTCAATTGCCTTGTAATTGGGAACATCCTCATGGGCTCGGGCAAGGTGCTGAGGCCCACTTCCATCACTATTCTCACACAGCAGCCAGACACCTCTCTGGACTTTGTGGGAAGACACGATGTCATCATTTTCTCCCCCAGCCAGGTTGGTTGCTTCTCTTACTATTCTGCTCCTCCCTTTGTAGTCAACGTGTTGGTAGAGAGTGATCTGGGGATTGTGCAGATCTTCCCTGATCACCTGCAGAGAGCTGATCCTGTCATTCATCTCTTTACCAACAGAGTCATATTCTCCCTCCTCAAATACCAGAAACTGACCCTTGTAATCAACATGCTCATAAGCCACCCAAGGCTGGCCAATTACTTTCACTGAGGAGACAATATCATTCCAACCCACAGCTATTAGGTTGGGAGTGTCAGTGGTGAATTCTTTGGACATGCCCTGGAAGTTGACATGCTCATAAATGATGATTTTGCCCATCTCTGCTGGACTTCTCGTGTTTGGATTCCTTGCTATAGGAGCTAGATTACAACCTGCACAAGAGGAAGACACAAAACAAACAATGCTTTTAAAAAACCTTTATATACCAGATGGAAAATGATGAAAAATGTGGAGTGGGAAAAAATAAAGAAGGGGAAGCAACACATTTTGAACAAAGAATAAACATAGCGGCAGCTGGAAAGTAGTGAGGGCATGAGGGCATGATACAGAAATGTTCACTTGGAAAAGAATGTAAAATGAGGTATGTACCCATAACTACCCAGTTTTAATTAGATATGCATGTTGATTTGCATATATCCCCCAGAGTAAGTCATAAAATACTCTCACACTCACCCCCCACAACTGTGTATCAGTGGCCCCCTCCAGGCTGTCCCTGGGTGAGGTTTGTCTCTCCTGCAGCAGCCATCCATCTCCTCATGCCCTGAGAGATGCCTTCAGTCTCTGCACACACACACAGCAGAGCCTCACGGCTGTGCTGCAGCTCTCAGCCCAGCCCTAAAGCCTCCTGCCCTTGCCCTGCACTTCACAGCAGCTGCCCAAGAAGCCCTTCCAGCTCTCCTGTGCCAAGGGTGCCTCTTACCTTGCTGTCAGCTGCAGGTCTGCGAGAGCTGAGGGCAATTCCTCCAGTGCAGGGCTGTGGTGTGTGCAGAGCGTCTCAGCTGTCTGCATTTATAGCTCACTCAGAAGCCTTGTGCAACACCCCAGGTGACAACATGACAAGTGACCAAAATTCTCCAAAAGCCAGATCAGCCACAGTAATTCAGGCACACCAAAGTACATTGTGACACAGGGGCTGTGGAAGTTTCCTGCTTGTGGCAATTTGTAGTCTTGCCCTCCCGGGAAGTAATAAAATGCAGAAGGACTTTTTATGCGAGATATCCAGTCATGATTCCAGGTCACAGAGATGATATTGGAGCACTAGTTTTTGAAAAAAAAAATCCCTTTTGTCCTTAGTGTCATGAAATCATTAATTTTGGAAAATGCCTCCAAGATCATCAAGCCCAACCTTTGCCCAAATACCACCATGCCCACTAATCATCATAGTACAAAAATCACTTCAACTTCCCTGCCCTGGCTTCATAACCACCATGGGACAATATCTCCACATTCTCCCTCCTGCTCTGAGCAGCAGCCTGAAGTAGAGACCCTTCAAGGTTCCTTCCAGCTTAAATGCTTCAAGGAGTCCATACACTCTCCTTGGCCTGTCTGGGGGGACAGCTACCCGTGCACCAGAGATGAGTACAAGCCTACAGAACAGCAAGAAATGGTTCAGGGAGGGATATGCAGGGGAATGTTAGAGCAAATTTGCTATTGCTCATGCCGAGGTTTGTTTTGGGGTGTATTTAATCAAAGACATAATCCAAAAAAATGAGGAAGTGTCACATCCAAAAATCTAACAAAGGATTCTTGAAAATTTTTCAGTGATAAGAGGAAGACGTAAAGGTGGAGAAGGACTTTGAGCCTTCAATAGAGGGAATTACATTTGACAAAAGAGCAGGTGAGAGCCTGTGGAGGAATGGGGAGGGAAGTGTGACTTTGGGGAAATAGAGTTCATGAATGTCCAACAAATAAACTTGAGGGTGTTGTACACCTGACCTGATGATGACACTTTTTCATGGAAATTGAACAATTGATGCAATTAGGCAGAAAGTGACAAAGGCTTTTAAACCATCCTTAGAATTACTGACAGGAACATAGATTGTGGAAGGGAGGTCCAAGGCCTTGTTCAGAGCAGAGCAACTTCCAAACTCCAAACTTCCAAACTTCCAGGTTACTCATGGCCATCTTCAAGTGATTTCAGAACAATTACTATGGTGGAGATTACCCAGGATCGCTGACCTTTCTTCCAGTGCTGAAAAACTCTTAGGGCTATGGTTACTTTCCTTATTTTCAGTCAGAGCTTCCCTGTTTCCAGATAAGACCCTTTCCAGATGTCCTTTTGCTCAACCCTTCTGAGAATCCTTAGCCTTGTCTCTTCCATGGCTGAGAAAAATTTTCATAATGATATCAGAAAATTTTAAATCACACCACCCAGAGAGGTTGGATAGTCTGTATATTCAGAAGATTTCTAGACCTGACTGGATAAAGCCACCAGCAGCCATAATTCACCTCACGGCTGTCCCTGTGTTAAGTAGCTGACTGGATCCAATGACAACCAAAGGTCGCTTTCAACTTGAATTACCCACCAATCCTACAATCCTCCTGGCTCCCTGGATCATTCAAGCTCACCACGTAAGGACCAAGACAGGCAAATCCCAGTATTTCCTGAGCCATATTGCTCCTGAGGAATCCTGCTATAAATAAAGATGATCAATGTCCCTTGTCCAACCATTCAGCCTTGTCAGACCAAGGCTGTCCTTATGGGGATTTCTGTGCACTGACATTGAGTGGGTCTAATGAGCTCCTTTGCATTGTCCTTGCACTCAGCAATTACTGTGTCCCTGCAATTTGTCTCTCCTGAATTTAATGTTTGGGGCTTTCTTGGTGAATTTGAATTTTTGGAAGGGAAATGTTTCAAGATGTGGCTCTCCTGCTTGCCAGGGAGTACAAGTAGAATCACATCCATCTACAAGCGCAAGAAAAAGAGAATTGAAAAAGCATCTGTGGATCTGTAGGATTTCAACTTACAAGATGCTCTTCTGAGAAAGCCCATGGCAGTTTGTACAAACAGATGATGAAGATTGAAAGTAAAAGGAAAGAGCACTAAAGTTAAGTTTAAGAGTGTTTATTTTTTTGTGGGAAAGCCCCAGTCCCAGGGTTTCTGTCTGGCCAAGTCACTTTTCGAGTGCCGTGTGTAGGGAGAGCTCAGGATGAGCAGGGTTCAGCCCCAGGAGCTCCTCAGCTCAGATGCTGGAGCCCAGGCTGCAGGCTCTCTGTCCAGGGCTGCTCTTCCCAGTGCCACTGGCCAGGCTGCAGGGACAGCCCGTGCCGGGCTTGGCTGTGTGACCCAGGGACAGGCACCTGGGCACGGAAAGGACACGGCCACGGCCACGGCACCGGCTGGCACACACCAGGGGCTGCCCTCAGCCACCCACAGCTGACACCACCAGCACTCCCAC